CTGTACACCCCTCACACGTTTCGTGGCCCCATAGGGAGCTCCACCGAAAGCCCCAGTGTCAGGGTTCGCATGGCGGCCTTGGGCCATTTCGGCACACCCCTCACGAGGATCGTGGCCCATGGGAGCCCCACCGATGTCGCCCGTGGCAGCATCCTTCATGGCTCTCAGAGCCCTCTCCTGCTTCTGCTCCTCGGTCAGGGTGACGCCGTCTTCGTCGTCGCCGGCGCCCGCGAAGACGGCCACGAACGTGTCCCTGAGCATGTCGGGCCCCGGCGGGGAGCCGTGGCTACATAGGGAGCGCGGGCGAAGATGGTATTCACAATTGCGGTATTCACAACTGCGCATGGTTGGGTCCTTCGCCAGGATATATATATATATATATATATATATATATATATATATATATATTATAGAAAACAAACAAACAAAAAACAACGTGAGCGGCGGGCCCCATAGGGAGAGGGCTCCCACCTGATTCGCTCACAGACGAGGCTCGCGCCTGACACTCCATCCACGCCTCAGGGGCCCAACAGCCACGACAGTTACAGGATTCCGATGACCCGTTCGGATTAAGCACGTGAGCGGCGGGTCCCATATGGAGGGGCTTCCCGCTTGAGTTTTCCTCGCAAGCCACTCACAGACGAGGCTCTTTTGACGATGGTGCTGTGATGGTGATGATATGATGATCATGACGGCCGTTGAGTAGCAGATGTGACTGAGTGAGGGAGTTGGGAAGGAGAGCGTGCGCGAATGTGTATGTGATGATTATGCGGTGATGGTGATGGCGATGATGATGTGAGTGTGCGAGCGTGTCAGTAAGAAGGGAAGGGGTGTTCCTGTTTCTGCGCGGGGTGCCCAGACGAAGCAATAACCCCATTTTGGATGTGGGATACTTGTGAAACGCATGTGGGCGGCGCGAAGGTCATAACCGCATTTAGAACACCCATCTGCCCTCTACATGTGAAGTTGCTGCAAACGTGTAAGGCGAGATCGCGCGACGTTACCGCGACAATCGCATGTCGAAAAGGACCGCCCTCCGTCTTTGAAGTTGCCGAAGGGTTTGAAACGAGTGCGTGCGGCGCTAAAGCGGGACCCCCATGCTTGACCATATCCCGTTTTCCATATTTGAAGTTGTTGTTAGTTTCGAGCTCCTAGGGTCATACATGGTGAGGATGTATCAGGCGAAACGACTCGACCGCCCGGCCGGCACGCTCATAAGGAAAAGGGGTGGGAGGAGGAGGAGGAGGAGGAGGAGGAGGAGGAGGAGGAGGAGGAGGAGGAGGAGGAGGGGGAGGAGTGGGAGGCGGTCGGCGGTGATGGACAAGCGTGGTGTTGAGGATGGGGAGGCGGTGGGGAGCACAGGAGGAGGGGGACGAATGGTTTTGAGGGATCGCGGGAGAGCTCCCTCCTTTGTCCCTCCTCCTCCTCCCTCCCCCCTTTGCCCTCCTGCCTCCCGCGGCCTCGCTCCCCGCCCCCTCCCCCTCCATCATCCCTTCCAGAGCGCGAGGACACAATCCTCCAGACATTTACCGACCTGGGCTGCTTCCTCAAACCTCGACTGGAATTCCAGTGTTGGTTAAGGTTCTAGCGTGTGAATTAGGAGGTCAGGACGAGGAGGAGGATGACGAGGACGAGGAGAACGATGACGAGGGGGATGAGGAGGAGGAGGAGGAGGAAGGAGCGAGGAGGAGGCGGAGGAGGAGAGAAAGGAGGAGGAGAGAGGGAGAAGGAGGAGGAGGAGGAGGAGAGGACGAGGGAGGATTAAAGGAGGGAGGAGGAAGAGGAGGAGGGGAGGGGGAGGAGGAAGGAGACGAGGAGGAGGAAAAGGAGGACGAAGGAGAGGATAAGATCTACAAGGAGGAGGAAGAGGAGGAGGAGGAGGAGGAGGAGAGGGAGGAGAGAGGAGAGAGGAGGAGGAAGAGGAGGAGGAGCAGCAGGGAGGAGGCAGAGCAGGAGGAATAGGCGGAACAGGATGAGGAGGGGTAGGAGGAGGAGGAGGAGAGAGGAGGAGGAGCAGGAGGAGGAGGAAGGACGAGAGGGAGAGGACGAGGGAGAGAAGAGGATGATGATTGATAATGAAGGAGGAGGAGGAGGAGGAGGAGCAGGAGGAAGAGGAGGAGGAGGAGGAGCAGGAGCATGAGGAGGAGGAGGATGAATATGGCGGACAAGGAGGAGGAGGAAGAGGAAGATGATGGGGAGGAGGATGACGACAAGGAGGACAAGGGGGAGGAGGATGGGGAGGAGGAGAAGGAGGATGAGGAGGGGAGGGAGGAGGAGGAGGAGAAGGAGGAGGAGTAGAGAGGAGGAGGAGGGAGGAGGAGGAGAGGAAAGGAGGTGAGGAGAAGTTGAGGAAACTGAAAAGGAAGATGATGATGAGGGTGAGGAGGAGGATGAGGAGGAGGACGAAGGAGGAGGAGGAATAAGGGGAGGAGGAGGGAGAGGAGGAGAGGAGGGAGGAGGAGGGAGGAGGAGAGGACGGCGGCAGGAGGAGGAGGAGGAGGAAGACGAGGGGGAGGAGGAGGATGACGACGACGACGACGACGACGAGGACGACGAAGACGAAGAGGACGACGAGGAGGAGTAGTGTTTGGGGGTCCTCCTAGAAGGTCAGGGTGGAGCGGGGCGCGGCGCAGGGCGGCCACCTGGTGGACGTGGAGAGCTGCGTCCCCGCCGCTCCGCCAGCAGCGGCGCCCTCGGCGAGTCCCGCCTCGAGGCGGCGCCGCCCCCGCCTCCGCCGCTCGAGAATGCCGCCTGGTTTCCTTCTCCTCCTCCCTTTTGCCTCCCCATCCTCCACCCCTCCTCCTCCTCCTCCTCCTCCTCCTCCTCCTCCTCCTCCTCCTCCATCCTCCCTCCTCCTCCCTCCTCCCTCCTCTCCTCCCCTCCTCCCTCCTCCCTCCCTCCCTTCCGCCCTCCGCCCCCCGCCCTCCGCCCTCCCCTCCTCCTCCCTCCTCCCTTCCCTTCTCCTCCTCCTCCTCATGCTCCTCCTCCTCGTCCTCCTCCTTCCCTCCTCCCTCCTCCCTCCTCCACCTCGTCCACCTCTCTCCCCTCCTCTTCCTCCTCCCTCTCCTCCTCCTGCCCCTCCTTCTCCTTCTTCTCCTCCTCCTCCTCCTCCTCCTCCTCCTCCTCCTCCTCCTCCTCCTCTTTCTCCTCCACTTCGTCCCCCTGTTTCACGATGCCGCACGAGCCCAGAGAGTTACCTCGACGCAACTGCGGACTCCTCTACCGAAGCGCCTCGCCTTGCCTATCCTTCTCGCCTCCTCCTCCTGCTCCTGATCCTCCTCCTCCTCCTCCCTCCCCTCCTCCCCCGCTCCTCCTCTCGTCGTCCCTCATCCTCCTCCCCCTCCTCCTCCCCCTCATACCTCCTCCTCCTCCTTGTCCTCGTCCTCCTCCTCCTTCTCCTCCTCCTCCTCCTCCTCCTCCTCCTCCTCCTCTATTCTCCCTCCTCCCTCCTCCCCCTCGTCCTCCTCCTTCCTCTTATTCGGGAACCCACCGTGAACTCCTCGAGACAGGCACGGCGAACGACTAAAACAAAACTCGATTCGAGAGAACCACGAGCCCTCAGAACATGGCTCGTCTGGCCAGGCACGGTAGCCTTGCGGCAGTCTGTCCGCTGCCAGGGCCAGATTCACCTTAGCCCCCCACTCCCCACGAATTCCGGGCAGGCATGGCCTGGTCAGCTTTTGGGCCTCGACGGGGCCCTTCCCCTGTTTGGAACGGGCCCCGTAGTTCCCACAGAGCTCACACCAAAACACACCCCTCGTATGCCGAATTCAGTGAAACTGGTGCAATGACTCGGGCCTTCCGACGCAGACGCCCCCCAGCCACTCCACCGCCCCCACCCCACGATCGGCCCTCGTCCCGCACACACACACACACACAGCACCTCCACCCTTGGCGATATCGGACCGCCGAGTGTGCGGCTGTGAGGAGGGCGGCTGAGACAAGCTCCTGCTCCTCCCTCCTCCGCACCTTCCCCTCGGCAGTGCTCGCCTCCCGTGCGGAGGGGCCGTCTGAGAGCACGGGCCTGCACGGCCACCGTGTGGGCGACCGCAAGCGGGTGCTCCTGGACCCGCCACGCGCGGCGGTCCGCAGCAACGAGGCGGTGTACGACCTCGGGCGGGACGTGGCACTCGCGGGCCGACTCCTCCGCTGCTTTGTCGGCTGCACCTTTGGCCAGCCAGTGCTGCTGGGGCGAACCTGGGCGGCCTTCAACCTCGGGCAGGGCTTGAGGCTTGACTCTGATCATCTGTACCCTCCTGCGGCCTTCCGCAAGTCGCCAAGACTTACGCCAGGCAAAACGATTCACACTGTTTCTATGACTGCTACCTTTCCATAAAGCGTTCACAACTCAGGCGCTATCTACAACGAGCGTCAGGTCCCCTATCGTGGCCTTCAAAGCCTCAGTGGCCCCATGGAGCTCAGCACAGGGCACCGTCTGCTTGAAACCAGAGAGGGGCCCTCTTCCCTACGCTACGAGTCTCGAGCCTCTGATGACACTGAAACCCCAGGCGCATCTCCTCAGGCGCGGCTCGGACGAGTGAGGCCCCCCCGAGCCGTCCGACCCCGCCACGTCCCCAGGCTATAGCCTGTAGGGTCCTACCTGGAGGGAGGAAGAGAACACGGGGCGCACATCTACGACCGTGGCGGCGAGACCCTGGATCCAGGGAGTCGAGGGAAGGCCCCTGAGCCAGAAAATCGGGGCCACCTCCTCCTCCTCCTCCTCCTCCTCCTCCTCCTCCTCCTCCTCCCACTCCTCCTCCTCCTCCTCCCCCTCCTCCTCCTCCTCCTCCTCCTCCTCCTCCTCCGCCTCCTCCTCCTCCTCCTCCTCCTCCTCCTCCTCCTCCTCCTCCCCCTCGTCCGTAGCCATTTTGGCTCAAGGCTATGAACCGTCCCGACGGCCGCGAGTCCCAAGGGGCGGCTTCTGAGCGCGAGGGGGTTCGCGCTTTGAGGCCAAGCGATTTTCAAGTGATTGTCTGTGCAGCGGCACGCGCGTGGGCGGCATGGCGCCCCTTCCTCGCGGCGGCAACCAGCGCGGTGGTGGCGGCGGCGCTCCTGGCGGATCCCAGGCGGGCTCTGGCTGGCGCTGCCCCTCGTGCTGCTACAGGAACCTCGGGTGGAGGACGCAGTGTCGGCAGCCAGACTGCTGTGCGTACCGCCCGACTTCCAGTGATGCTCCTCGGCCTCGTGATGCTGGTGGTGATGGCGGCTGGCCTCGTCTCGGTCGCTGGGCCGAAGGACCGCACAAGGCTCCGTGGCGCCAAGCAGAGCAGGCGGCTGGAGGCGGCAAGGGCGTGCAGCCTCCCAAACCGAAGCGGCTCACCGACGAGAAGCTCGTCTACTTCGTGGCCTGCCCCGTCGAGCAGCTCGACGCCTGCAAGGGGCTCATCGCGGAGGCAGACTGGCAGGCTATCCGCCAGCAACGCTTCCTCCTCCAGCAGCAGCTGGGCTCGCTGTCGGCGGTCAAGCCCGTCAGGAGTGCGCAGGCTGCGGCTGACGAGGCGCCCAAGCGCCTTCTGCGGGCCCGCAGCGAGCTGGAGCGCAAGAAGCAGGCGGCACAGGCTGCGCTGCAGGCGGCCTTCGACCAGGAGAAGCTGGTCGCCAAGCTGCAGGTGGAGATGGAAGAGCTCGTCGAGAAGGCCAGGCGGGTCATGGCCGAGCCGCCTGCTGCTGCACTGCCGCGCGCAGAGGACCGCTACGTCGCCGACGTCACCAAGTACAGGGACTTGGTGGGCACCGTCTCGGGCGCCCTCGGCGGAGTCGAGCTGGGCGAGCTGGCTGGCCCGCTCAAGTCGCTCCTCGCCGCGCTCCAGCAGGATGTGGCCGCTTGCGAGGCGTCGGGCGCCCCGCCAGCCACCGCTGTGCCTTCCCCTGCCGTTGCTGCGGCAGGTGCTCAGCCTGGGGCAGCGGCTCATGACGCAGTTCTGGGAGGCGAGCACCAGGCTGCTGGCGATGACGACGAAGACATGGAGAGCCTTAACCTGTCCCCTGAGGCCTTCGCGGCGCAGGTCGAGGCCTTCTGCGACGGCGACGCCGACAAGAGGAAGTGGCTCGAGGCGTTCCGCGACCGCTGCTGTGCCGACAAGAAGCAGAAGCTGGTGCAGCAGCAGATGGCGGCTGGCGACGCTCAACATGAACGCCTTCAGCAACTTGGACAGGTGCCTCACGGAGCAGAACAGCGGGTGCAACGTGCTGCTCTTTCAGGAGACCCGCCTCAGCGGGGCGCGCACGACGGACGCTGAAGGGGAGCTTCGTCGTCGGGGATGGCGTGCCGCGGGTGCTGAGGCCCAGGCGTCTCAGGCGGGGGGCCTGGCGTCTGGGGGTCTTTTGACGTGCTCACGCCTTGAGCATGGTTTGGCGCCAATGATGGGCTACGAGTCCCCTGTCGTTCGTCCTGGGCGAGTACAGCTGCTCCACCACGCTGGGCTGACTCCTGGCGGAGTCGTAGTGGGGAGCGTGTACTTGGAGAGCGGCGTGGGGTGAACGCATGCAACTACGAGGCGCTGCGCGACGTGGCGTGCAGGCTGACGCAGTACGGCAGGCCGCACGTGATCGGCGGCGACTTCAGCTGCACCAAGGCCGAGCTGGAGAAGAGCGGAGTCCTGCGCTTCTTCGACGGCGCATGCGTTGACGCGCTCGAGCCCACCTGCGTGCAGTCGATGCGCTCCATCGACATGTTCATTGTGTCGAGCGGCCTGCGGCTGCTCAACGTGGAGGTGATCAGCGGGTCGCCTGTATGGCCGCATCGGCCTGTGGTGCTGGAGCTCGAGGCGACTCGCCAGAGTCCATGCATCCGCGTCATGGATGTGCCCAGGCGCTTCCCGCAGGAGAGGCCTGCTGGCTGCGCGAGTTGGGACTACCGCGTGCTGTGGGCCAGCGTCGGCGAGGAGGTACGGCGGCTCCTGCGCTCTGCGCCTCGGCAAGGTGTGTCGACGGCTCCTCAGGGTGGGCTTGCGGATGCTGCCCTGAATGACGCTGCTCCCCCGAGCGGCGCGCCTCGAGGAGCTACGGGACCTACGCCCGCTGCCGGTGGTGCGAGCGCACATGGACCTGTACACGGTGGTGCTTCTGGACTTCGTGGGCCCCTGCAAAAGCGACCTGCAGGCGGAGAACGCGCCGCTCTAGCTGGGGAGTGTGAGCGAGGTTCAGGGGCTACTGCTGCTGATGGCCATGTGTCGCAGGCGGCCTGCGCTGACGTGGAGCGGACGCAGATCCGTGGCCAGATCAACGTTGCCTGGCAGCGTTTCCTGGAGCAGGCCGAGACCGACTGGATCGACATATACCAGGTGGGTGGGGACGGCCAGAAGTATCGTGGGCGGGGTCAGCCAGTGCAGCCGCGCTGGGTCCGCAAGTTGCCTGTCGTGGGCGCACGTTGGCCCAACGTCTCGGTCGAGGCCACCTGGCTCTACAGGGTGTCGTGCGAGCTGCAGCTGGTCGCCGCCGTCGCGCAGCCCGTCAGCCGTGTCCGTGCGCTTCGAGGTCTGCCCAGGCTGATGGTGACCGCGCCCAAGGCCGTGAAGGGTGTCGCGGAGGCCGAGCCTCACGACCTGCCTGTCGCGAGCGCTTGGTGGCAGCTCCTCAACAGCTTGGGCGTTCACTGCCTGGGCCCGACCACCGCGGTCCTGCAGCTGAGCGAGCGCGCCCACGCCGCCGCCGCGAAGCTGGCCGAGCGCGACATGGCGGAGCGCAAGGCCAGGTTCCAGCAGTGGGTCGCCAAGCAAGCTGTGGGCGGTGGCGGCGGGCTCCACGCGGTGGCTAGCTTGCCGATCGGCTTCGCGGAGAGCCCCATGCTGCACACCAGCAACGCGGAGACGCACGTGCCCTTCTGCGAGCCCGCCGACCTCGCCGCGGAGGTCACTGCACTGGAGGTTGCCTGGAGCGGATGGTGGAGGACAACATGCGAGCAGGTGTCGCTGCGCTGGCCGAAGAACCTTGGCGCGTGGCCGCCTCGGCCGACGGTGGCGCAGCTGCGGAAGGTGCTCTTGATTTTCGCCGCCAACACGGGCACCTCATTCTGTGCGGTGCGGCCCAGGCAGCTCAACGATCTCTGCGACGACGGAATCGAGGTCCTCGCTGACATCGTCGAGGCAATCGAGCTCCACGCGTCCTGGCCTGAGATGACCACCAAGATCTGCTTCATACAGAAGAGGCTTGGTGGGGTCAGGCCGATCGCGCTGATCATGGTGCTGGCCCGTGTGCAGGCTCGGCTGCGTCGTGACATCGCACGCGGATGGGAGATGCAGAATGCGCGCAGCTACTGGTGGGCCTCGGCGGGGCGCAGCTGCGAGCGGGCGGTCTGGCACCAGGCTGCCATTGGCGAGTGGGCCACGCAGCGGGGGCAGGACTGCGGCGACGAGAAGCGCTGGGTGGCGGCGGCCGTCCTGCTCGACCTGCTGAAGGCCTTCGAGCAGGTCAGGCGCCACTGGTTGCTGGACGCCGCGGTGCGCACTGGCTTCCCGTTGTGGCAGCTCAAGCTTCAGGTGGAGCTGTACTGCGCGCCGAGGGTGCTCGCCCTGGGCAGCGCGCACTCCGACGTGATCGAGGCTCGGCAGGCGATCCTGCCAGGAGACGGCTTCGCCACCACCCTGCTCAAGCTGATGCTGACCGGGCCGCTGGACAGGCTGGTCGAGCAGCACCCGACGTTGCAGTTGGCGGTGGTCGTGGATGACCTCATGCTGCACAGGTTCGGCGGCGCAGTGCGTGTCGCGAAGGAGGCGGCGGAAGCGGCCTTCAAGCTCAAGACGCTCTTGACGGAGGTCGACCTCAACGTGGCGCTCTCCAAATCCCGCGTGCTCGCCAACGTGCCCGACGTCAGGCACGCCGTCGCTGCGAAGCTCAAGCGGCCGCTCGGCATGGTGTCGGTCAAGGGCGAGCGCAATCTTGGAGTCGACTTCTCTTGCGGTCGCAGGGTTGTGAGGAAAGTCCGCGGCGACAAGATGGTGCTCGCGGGGTTGAGGCTCAGGCGCGTGGCCATCCTGAAGACTGGAGTCGGGCGCAAGCTGGCTGTCCGCAAGGTGGCGCGCAGCGGGCTCGAGGCGTCCGTCTCCTACGGCTTCTCCGTCACGGGCTGCGCCACCACGGAGCTCGACAAGCTGCGCACGCTTATCTTCGCGGCCGCGGCGCCGAGCGTGGCGGGGCGGTCGCGGACCCTCACGCTCATGCTCACGCCCTTCCTCGACCCTGTCTACCGCGCGACGCTGGCCCCAGCGATGGCGATGCTGCGCGCGGTCTGGGAGCGCTGGGCGCCGAAGCATGTGCTCCAGTATGGCCTGGCCCAGTGTGCGGCCACTAGCTGGTGCCAGGTGAAGGGGCCCTTCTCCGCGGTCAGGCTCTCCCTAGAGCGCGTGGGCTGGCAGATTGTTGACGGCAGCACCTGGCTCACGCACAGCGGCGACAGCATATGCATCTTCGAGACCTCGCCCTGGGTCGTCAAGCGCCTGCTCTGGATGGCGGTGGAGGCGTGGCAGTGGCGACAAGTGGGGCAGCGGCCTGGGCTCGCCCATCTGGCTGATGGGGGCATCCTCGAGCCCATCGTCAGGCTCACCAACGCGGGGGCGGTGCAGCGCAAGGGCTTCTTCGGCCGACAGGTGAACTACGTCGACGGGGACGCTGGTGCCGCCGCTCCTCGGCTTGTCGGTCGGCCTGCTGTGCCTCCTGGAGTAGCGGCTTTGCTGTCGGGAGAGGAGACAACCCGTGGCGGTGTCGCGCGGCATGGTGTTGTGGCTGGCTCGGATGCGGGCGGCCTTTCAGGCCAAGCTCTGGCATGCGTGCTCGGGTCTGGCTACCTGACCGCGGTGGAGGCTAGCGCCGCTACTCTACAAGCTGCGCGCGCTGAAGCTGGAGACGGATGGGGTGACCTCATCAACGACCTGCTCGGCCAGGTGGCGCCTGACCCCCCGCCGCGGCCAGACCCAGAAGGCGGAGCACCGCTCGCGCCTGAGCTGCCTGCTGGCGGCGCTGGGATTGGTGCCTGCCCAAGCCTCGTACCTTCACGGCAAGGTGTGTCGACGGTTCCTCTGGGTGGGCTGGCGGATGCTGCCCTTAATGACGCTACTCCCCCGAGTGGCGCGCCTCGAGGAGCTACGGGAACCACGCCCACTGCCGCTGGTGCGAGGCCTGCTCAGATGGCTAAGGCGATCCGTCTTGCGCCCAAGGAGAGAGGACACCTCGCCTCGGTCATCGTGGACGGCCAGTGGTCGCAGCGCCGCAAGTACCTGGGTGGCTACGCCTCGAACGACAAGCGCTTGCTGTGCGGCGACGTTGGCACGCTGCTGCACAGGCACACGTGCTGCAGTGGATGGCCGCCCGAGCTGCGGCTGCCCAGCAAGATCCGTGAGATGGCGGGCAAGGCTGAGCTCGTGGAGGTGGAGTGCCTGCTGGAGCGCGTGCTTTGGCCTGCGCCCCGTGGCATCATCATGCCGCCTCGGCCTCCTGGGATCAGCTGGCTGGGCCAAGACGTAGGCGGCATGCTGCCGTCGGGCGACGTGTACCTGGACGGTTCCGCCTACGAGGGCGACTTCCAGCAGTGCACAAGCGTCGGCTGGGCTGCGGTGGTGCTGCAGGAGGACGCGGACGCCTTCCGCGCCGGCATTTCGGGCACGCTGTGCGAGCCCTTCGCCGACACCAACGGCGGTGAGCTGGCCGCGCTCATCGGCACGCTGCGCCGTGCCGTGCCGCCCGTCAGGGCCATCGTCGACTCCGACTTCGTGTTCAAGGGCGTGCTGGAGCACAAGCCGCTGCTCACGACGCGATGGGGCTACGCTTGGGCCCACCTCTGGCGCGAGCTCTGGCGGCTTGTTGAGGACTTCGGGGGGGTAGGGCCGCATGGCCTGACCCTCAAGAAGGTCCCTGCGCATGTCCCGCGACGCCGAGTGACTGACGACGGCGTCATCACCGCTCGCGACTGGATCGGCAACTGCATCGCCGACCAGGCAGCGAAGTGCGCGGCCGAGCGCGCGAGGATTGCGCCCGAGGATCGACAACGCCTGCAGTCGGCGCGGGAGCTGGTCGAGGGCGTGGCCATGTGGGTCTCAGCTGTTGGGGCAGCCGTGGGTGGGGACGACACCACCCACCGCGCGGCGAAGCCCAACAAGGCGGCCCCGCGAGCAGCGTTGCAGCCAGCGACTGCCAGGCTTGGCTGCGACCTCCGTGGGCCGCCTGGGGCGAGATGGTGCAGCAGGTGCCGTTGGCTGGAGCGCGCCAGTGAGCGCCCAGGCTCGATTGTGACGTCCGCCCTGGACCATAATAGGAGGCTGCGGGCACAGGGAGCGCTGGCGCACGTGATTGTGAAGATCGAGCCGCAGGTCGAGGCCCAGCTGCAACGTGAGATGCCGCTGCTGGCCTGCCTCGTCTGCGGAGCCACAGGTGCGGCGAGGAGCTCGTCCTTCGCCCGTGCCTGCGGCGAGCCTGGAGCAAAGGGCAAGCTGGTGATTGCTCGGCTCGCCAAGGGCTTCGCGCCAGGCGCCGCAGGCCGTGTGGCCGTCAAGTTCGTGCAGATCGACGACCACAGCGTCGCGGACGACGGCGCGGAGCGCGGCGGCGGCGGCCTGGACGGGCCGCTGCCCTGAGGCGCGCGCGGGGGGAGGAGGCCCCACATCCCCGCGTGCGCCCCTGACTTCGTCGCGGTGCACCTCGGCGAGGTCGCAGCGGGTCATCCTGACCCGTGCCCGAGCGCGCGGGGCGCGCTCGGGCGCCAGCGCGGCCGAACGCCCGCGCTGATGCGAGCGCATCCTCCTCCCCCTCGTCCTCCCCCTCGTCCTCCTCCTCCTCCCCCTCTTCCTTCTGGGCAGGCGGCCGCGCACAGTCGGCGCGGCACCCCCTTCAGAGACGACGGCGACGACGACGACGACGACGACGACGACGACGACGACGACGACGACGACCCGGTGTCTTCCGGCAGCCTCGCCTTGCCGACGGCGTTCCAGGGGTTGCCCGGATCGTCTCGGGACGGCTGCTGGAGGTCCGAGCTGTAAGTGAGGCGGCAATGACCTTCGGGGGTCCCCAAGCGGGATGGTGTTGTGGAAGTCGCTTAATGGAGAGGAAGCGTGCTGCCAAATCATTTCCAGATGTCTAAACTAATGTTTCGAACATGTTTTAAATTCGTAAACAAGTGTTTGACATGTTTTGTTGTATCACATTGTTTTGCACATTTGAAACACATCTTTAATTTAATGATAGGATTGATAGAGTGTCCCTTGCATGGCGACCACGCCGTGTGGTGGGTCGGTGGGGCTGCGGGGTCACCGCACGGTTTTGAGACCCGGGTCGTTCTCCGAGGACGTCTCGGGCGACCGGGGCATCCGAGGTCCCAAAATTGTGCGTTGACGGGCCGTGCGGTGAGGTTTTGGGGGATTTCGAGGTCACCGCACGGTCTGTCACCGCACCGCTTCGGGACTTCACAGTCCCGCTACAGGAGGAATACTCAAAAATAGGAAAAAGATAGTCAGGGGACGATCTTCCAATCATTTTTGGCTCTGTTGCAGCATGTGTTTAATTTTTTCAGTTTTCCAAAATCGGCCTGTAGGAGGACATACCTGACCCGAGGCTGAGTAAGACGATAATGAGTTCGTTCCAAAATCCGCCTGCAGGAGGAAATGTCCGACCTGAGGCTGAGTAAGACGATCATGAGTTCGTTCCCAAGCGTGCCGGGACGCTCTCGGAGCGTTCCCGAGCGCTTTGCGAGGGCCGCGGCGCTCGAGGCACCCTCGAGAGCCGCCAGGCCACAGAGGTTCGCGATTTGTCTTCACCCGATTTGATCGTTGTCCTGGATTTGTTTTACAATGATGTCGGGCCTGTCCCCCTACAGGAGGGAAATTCAAAATAATAAAATAGTCTGGGGACGATGTTCTGAGTATTTTCGAGCATGTTT